AAAAGATATCTTTATCAAGTTTTAAAACAAATTGTACATGTGGGCAATTTAAAGCTGTCCAACGTAACGCTGCAATAGTTTTTAAAGTTAAATTGTAATAACTTTCTATAAAATTTATTTGAATTATATCGTTGTAAGTTTTTGATTCAAATATTAGTCGTGCATTTGTTCTGAAAAAAAATAATTTTTAACTTAAAACACTTATAATTATTAGTTTGATTTTACTTTTTATTGTTGTTTTGGGCTATGAGAAAATACAATTTAGATTTTGAATCATTGTTCAAATCTGATCCATAAGTTTGTCTTATTAAATTTCTTTGCTTAATATCATTCCCTTTAATGTATAACAAAACTAATAACATTTGATTTTGGCCAAAGTTTCCATTGCATGGTTTAGTTGGTTCAAGAAGAACATCAGTTACACGCAAAATTTCGTTTATTGATTTCATTTTAGGTCCAGGCAGATTAAATGTATCATTGTTGTTGTTTTTGTTAAAGTTTTTTGCTAAAATTTTAAGTTGATCATCAATGTTTTTAATTAATCTAAATGTTGAATAATTTTGAAAATTTGTTGTTTTATAAAAAATGTTATTTTGTTTGAAATTAAACACATTTATATTAAACAAAAATTTTAAAAATAACAAATAAACAAAAACCAAAATAATTATAACAAAATTTTTAAAATTGTTTTGAAACATTGTTTAAAAAATAATAGTTTAAGTTCGTTATTTTTTAAAAACGTAAAAAATTAATTTTTGTTTTAAAATGCTCAAAATATTTAAATTTAATGTTTTTGTTTACATTTTAACACTTTAATTTGTTTGTTTAGGTTTTATTATATGCACTCATATATAAAAAAATTTTTAAAAACGTGTTTTTGTAGTTAGAAACTGTTAGTGTATCAAACTGTTGCCTAGAGTCCTCTACCTCGCGTGAAAAAGGCCAACTCTTCAAGTGGCACCTTGACAGTAATGCGAATGTTGCCGATAAACTCGCGGCCATGCTGATCCACCCAAATGCCTTTCGGCAAGTACACCGATCGCTCTCGTACGCCTTCAGCGAGCACTGGCGCTACCAGCAGGTCATCACCGACCATAAACTGGTCGGCGATGGCGTAGGTTGCCTTATCATTCGGGTCCAGGTACCACATCGGCCGAATGACTGGCCAGCCAACTAGAGCACGTGTCTGCGAGAGGTGAATCAGCGTCCAGGCGTGCTTGATGTGCAAGTCGACAAAGGTTTTAGTGATCTTCGTCACCGTCTCATTGTTGTAGCTCCAAGGTGCGTGGAAGAAGTGCATGCTCGGCATGAAGGTGACTGCTTGAACCCAGCGAATGTACAACTCAGTTGATGGCTTCACACTAGAATTAAAACCGCCAATTTGATAGGGAATAAAGTATGAGTAGCCAGCAATTGAGAGGGACAGCGCGTTTGGAATTAGAGATTGTAGAAGTGTACTGAACGAAGCTTTGTCTTTTACCAGATATGACATTTTTACAAAAATGGGCTCATTTTGAGTTCGATAGCCTATTTCAGAAATAACCTTATTGCCTAATCTTGAAACGGTTTCAATGTATTTAGTTGAATATAGGCCAGGATAATTTTGAACTTCTTTGCTGCTGAAGTTTAAATTTTTATGAATTGAAAGAGGCGATAATTGAAACGAATCAACACCGTATTCAAAATGAAGTTTTCGAAGCATGTATTCATACCAAGTTTGAGCTTCAGGATTAGTAAAATCAATTAAGTTGGTTAACTTGTGATCAACAGTGCTTTTTAAGAAAAAACCAGCTGTGTTGTTAGGAGCATTATCAAGGTAAGGTTTGACACCAACACCGACTCGAAAACCTTTTTTATGTAAAGTTTCAATCATGGCTTTAGCATCTACAAACAAAAAAATATTTAAAACAGTTTTCCTTTTTTTAAAAAAATATTACCTGGAAAATCACTTTTAGAAAAATCCAGTTCATGACTTTTTTCCAAAACATAATCATTGATTAAAATTTCACTTTTGTTTGGAAAACCGTGTTTTTCAATTTCATTTGCAAAGTTCAAAACGTCTTTTTGCGTAGGTTTTGAGTTGTAGATTGAAAAAGTTGGGTATCTAAATGTACTTTCGTCGGGTGTTTTTGAGGGTTTCGGTATTAAAGTGGAATGCTGCAAAACAAAATTTGTCAATTGTCGAATATCATTCGCTACAAAAAGGTGCATTTGCAAATCAGGGTAGAACCTCTCCAACGGGTCTGTGTGATTCACGTAAGGAGCAACAATTTGGGTAGAAAAGCAAAGCAGCGCATCACCGTTGCTTGAGTTTCGTTTTAAAAACAGTGGCTGCTTGTGATCGAGATACACCGCAAAACCATTGGTGTTTATAAAAAGATGCTCTAGTATTAGGTAGTAATCTTCCTTTTTTTCATCTAACGTAAAGTTCAATAAGGTGTTAAACGCTTCTGTTGCTAAAATTCGATTAAAATCCATCGGCCAATGTGGTGAAAGGCTTTGATATGCTGAGTACCAGGTTGCATTGTTTTGCTCGTAGTGAACGCAAAGCTCACGAGGTCCAGGACCGTGCCAGCGAATCTGATATGTTATGGCCGAAAGGCTTTCAGTTAGCAGAACATCAAACTGACTGCCATCAGATAGTTTCATGTTCCAGGTGCCTTTTTCCAGATCATATTGGTCAAACTTCACAATTTTCAGACCACTGATTGACAGTTTAAGTTGACTTAAGTCATCGCGGCGCGCATTTTGAATTAACAAGTCTTGACTGTTTTCTAAAATATAAAAATCTGTTCGATTTTCATTTGCGCCAGCAACTTGAAAGCCAACATCCGCTTCCGTGTAATTGAAAGTTAATAAAAAAGTAAAAAAAGTAATAATGAATTTAAAAACTCCCATGATGAGGTGATAGTGGTTTCAAAATGACTTTTAACAAATGTTATTTAACTTGATTTTATATGTTTAGTTGTTACTTGACAATCGCATTTATCTTTTAGAGTTTTTTGAGCCAATTTATCAAAAGTATTTCTCGCAGTACAAAGTCTTTGATATATCAATACTTAAACTAACTTTTCTAATTAATTAAAATTTTTGTATCTAAATAAATACATTTTAGGTTATATAATGTTTTAGAATGTACAAAAATTTGTAGGTTAAATAAATAAATTAACAACAATTTTTTTAATGTTTAAACAAGGACATTTTACAACATTTAAAACTTTCACTAAAAAATGCCCAAAAAACTAATTAAAGAATTTTGTTATATTATTTATATAAATGTGTACAAACGCAGTTTTTTAGCAAAACTCTGTTGTTAAAAACGGATAGCTTTTTCTATACTTTGAAACGGTGTGCATCTAGGCCGAAAAGTTATTTTGCAGTTATGGGTCCAAACAGAGCAAGCGCGTTGCGCAAAGTACAAAACGTTTACTGAAAATTGCTGGTAAAACTAGAAATGGAAAGTCGCCGTGTTTGAAACAATGGGCATTTTTTGTGACCAATCGACGTCAGGCTCAACAGTCACTCAGTAAATTTTACAAATTTTTAGTTTTTGATTCACTTGACATAGGTATTGTTAGAAAGGTTTTTTAAAATAAAAATATACGTGTCTTGGCATTTTCTGCACAACTTGGTAATTTATGAAAAAAAGGTTCCAAAGTTGACCTTTTTGTGAGTTAGTTTTTACTGTAACTACAATTTCTTTTTTCGATTGTTTTCAGTATCGATTGTTTTTTGCTTTTAGAACAAAAACATAAAAATTTTAATTTTGAAATCTAATATCTAGGTTACAGCAAAGTTTAACAAAAAACACAATAACACGTATATTTTTATTTTAAAAAACCTTTTTAACAGTACCTATGTTGGGTAAATCAGTGTTATAAAATAAAACTTTTATTTACAGTTAAAAAACTTGTTTGTTCTGATTTTACCAGCAAATTTTTACATCAAACTAGCTTTGTTTTTCCGTTATTTTTGTTATTTGTTAGTAAATTAACTGAAAAATTAACAATAAACCTTATTTTACTGACAATATTATATTACTACTACAAATACACATTTTTTGATAAAAACAAAATCAAACAAAAATTTCAAACTTTTCAATATCAAGCTTGCAAAAAACATTTGTTTTTATAATTTTTTTAAAAAAGTTGTAAAACATTTGTTGTAAAAATAAACTTTAAAAATATTTTTTTATATAACATTTATAACTTTTTTGCACTATTTTCTCACGTGCAATTTAGTGTTTTTAAGTTTGTTTAAAAATTACATCAAATTTTAAGTGTTTGAGAAATATAGCTATTGTTATAAATAATTTTTGTGTATCATATCAAATTATCACCAAGACATTTTTTAAAGTTTGTTACAATAAAGATATTTTTAAATTAGTTCAAACTTTTGTTAATCCTGGTTGTTTTACTGATATATAAAACATTTTTTAAACAATTTTTGTATTATTGTTTTTAATATTTTGGTGACGTTAAACTGTACGATGAAGTTTTTGTTTGGAACGTTGTTTCTGATTAGCATAACTTTGGCTAACTCTAAAGGTTGTTTAAAAATATATAATTAAAGCTAACAATTAATTTTTTAGAAAGAAATGAAAAACCATACAAAGTAGTTTGTTACTATGAATCGTGGGACGAAAAAGTATTTTTATATTTTGTTGTTTTATATGATAATTGTAATGTTTTTTTATTTTTCAGTATGTTGTTGAAAGCATTAATCCGTTTGTTTGCACTCACATCATTTACTCGTTTGCAAAACTCGAAAACAATTCAATTGGCTTTTTTGACAAACATACAGATGATGGTGAAATAAATAATGTTTCCAAAGGCAAAGGTATTCATTTAACTAACTTTGGTTAAACATAACTAATATATTGTTTATCATTAAACAAAGGAATGATTCGTCGCATGAATGAATTGAGAAAAGCAAATCCTCATCTAACCACAATGATTTCAATTGGAGGCTGGTCAGAAGGATCAACAAAATACTCAGAAATGGTGCGCTCTCAAGCAAATCGTGCCACTTTTGTGGCATCAGTTTTGGCCTTTCTAAAGCGTTTTGATCTTGATGGTCTTGACATTGATTGGTTTGTTACTTAGTTATTGAAAAAGAAACACTATTAACATGTTGAACTTTTAGGGAGTTTCCAGCTTTCAGCGGAGTAGGCAGTGGCAATCGTTCACCTGGGCGAAAGGAGGACAAAGCAGATTTTGGCACATTGCTGAAAGAACTTCATACTGCATTCAAAACAGAAGGGTACATTTTGTCGACTGCAGTCGCCGCCGGAAAGTACCACATTGATCTGGCTTACGACATTCCGGCCCTAAACAAGTACCTTGATTTTGTCAATGTCATGGTCTATGATTACCACGGACTGTGGGATGGAGTGACGGGCCACAATGCGCCACTTTATTACGCAGTTAACTCTACAGGCGCTTCTCGAGAGCTGACTGGCCAGTTTACTGTTGAGTACTTCATTGAAAAAGGATTATCGTCCAAAAAGTTGGTATTTGGCGTTCCCCTTTATGGTTCGGTTTTTAAACTAGCCAACGCTACTCAAAACGGTTTGGGTGCTAAAATAATTGGCGCTGGACAGGAAGGTGGCGCTTATGAACATGTAAGGCATATCAAACATTTAAAATTGCAATTTTTTGAGTTAACAAAATGATTAATTTGCACTCAAGTACTGTAAACTGCTAAAAGAGCCTGGCTGGCAGCTGCACTGGGACAGTGTGGCCCAGGTGCCTTACGCCGTTCACGGTGACAACTGGCTGAGCTATGAAAACCTCCAGTCGCTAGCAATTAAACTTAACTACATCGTGTCAAAGCACCTTGGCGGATCAATGGTTTGGGCAGTGGATGGCGATGATGTCCTGAATGCTTGCGGTGACGGAAAATTTGCAATGATGAAGGAGCAAATGAAGATTTTAAACAAAGGTAAGTTTTTAAATCAACCAATTGTTTTCAATGTCTAACTAAATGAAAATTGCTTTTACAGTAAATGTTGTTGACACTAACATTCCAATTCCATCAGCTCATAAAAATGGACATTAAATGATCATTGTTTATTGTAATGTGACAAACTTTAAAAACATTTTAAAAACAACAACAAAGTTGTTACTAAATATATAAACTTTTGATTTTACAAAACAAAAACTAGTATTTTGCCAATAGTTTCAAAACTCGCTCGTTTACTAATTTGCCAACATTTTTACCCCAAAGTAGCTCCATATGATTCCAAGTTTGGTCGGGAACTTGATAATCGTCCAAAAGTTTAACTTAAAACAACACAATTAATATAAATAAAAATTGCAAAAGTTACTTAGCAAAGTTATTCTTACCATTTAAACTTTCCTTCAGTAAATGGACATCAGCAATGTGATTGTACCAGTCTCGTTTGGTGTACACCAAAGCAATGTCAGTAGAGTTTATGTTGCCCAACTTGTAAATACTTGGAAAGTCAGCTTTGTACTCTCGCAGATTTCGTCCTGGCTCTTCGTCATCATAGCTGTACTTTGTGGGTATTGATTCTTGCTGCAGCAGTTGAACATAGTTACGTGTAGATGATCCGGCCATGAAATGGTTTACATAAACAGGCAGCCGCTCATAATCGACCTGCGCTCGAGGTGTGCCAAAGAAAAACCAGTACACATAGTAGCACACATTTTTCTGCAGTAGTCGGTTAGCGCACAATTGGGTTAATCGAAGCTGGTTAAACAAGTTCGTTCCATAGTCACGAGGAAACGCCCACAGTAGCTGTCGTTTAAAGTACTTGAAGTAAACCAAAGGTGCTTCAAATTTAGTGAAAAATGAAACTGGAGACAAGGCAATGAACGGCTTAATAGTGTTACTGTACTCAGGACGTAAAGACAGCAGCGCTAGCATCATGTAGTTGCCCTGACTGTGGCCAATGTAGCTGATTGTTTTCTTTTTTGTTGCCTTTTTGATGTACTCAATTTGAGCTGGGAGATCATTGACAATCATATCATCAATTGAAAACTTCCAAAACTCATCACTCTCAGGCGACAATGTAGTGTGGTTACGAGAGTGTATGTTTCCACGATAGTCTGACAACCAGACGTCGTATCCTTGAGAGGCCAGTACAAAACCAAGAGAGTTTCCGACTGCTTTTGCATCATTGGCAGTGACCGGCTCAACGTACCTGCCATTTGATTGCAGTTTTCCGTCAGCAGCTATTAGCCAGTGGGAAGATTGGCACTGGAAACCGTGCTGCAAAAGGACTGGCTTTAGTTTAGAGCGGTCTTTTACCGTCGGATTGATAATGCGAGTTGTCTGAAGAATGTACCCATCAGAGGTATGAATAAAGTGAACTTCATGCTCAAAACCACGAGAAGTTATTATTTGGTGCTGTTGTTAATAAAACATTAGATTAGTAAAAACTATTGTTTTATGAAAAATCTTTTATGTACTCACAGTTGTTTTTCCAACATCTGGAAACTGCTCCAAACTAGGTTGCTGCAAAGCAATGGCAATGAAAGCAACAACTACGGCTAAACCTACAAAAGTAGTTATTTTGCGGCATTGACATGCCATAGTTTACAAAAAGTTAATCACTACTTTTATTATTTAGTTGAAATGTTTATGAAAAATATATATATTAAATTATAAGTTATTAAATCATCAATTTATATATTTTTTANAGTTACGCTCGCTTCGCTCGCCACTAACCATTTTACTGTTTATCAGTTTTTAAAATAAAAAGAGCTCAGTAACTCGCTTCGCTCACTACTAACTTTTCTCAAACACTGTTGTGGTAATTTAAGTGAAAAGTACAAAAAATACATACAATTACTGGCAAAAAAGCAGAAAAAACAGTGGAGAAGTTTGGCAGGCCAAAACTCCAGCGAGCTTTTTTTATTGCACTGCTAGGACTTTGTGGTTTTCAGTCGTGCAACGCTAGGATTTTCAAATTATTTTGCCACA